TTCAAAGTTTAGTAATTCAATACTCAAGCAATTCCAATCAAAAGTCATGATAAAACCATACAATACTGAAGGGTAGCATCTAAGAGTCTGTGATAGAAGCATCATTGATCCTTACAAAGCCGCGGTACAATTGTCTCACAAGGTTTCTTAACCTGAGTCCCTGCATCCTTTAGGTGGTGTATCCGCAAACCTCCATGAATTCTGAAGCATATTAATGTAAGTTCTTTCACCAGCTATCTCTTCTATGGGTACAGCATCAGAAATTTCTTCCCGATCCTCCTCGGTAAGTTTCACTCTCAAGGATCCAACATTCTCATCAAGGTTCTTGATCTTAGTTGTGCCTATGGAAAATGACAGCAAATGAACTTTAATATCACAGAGGAATGACCTTGAGCACTCTTGAAGGGTAATTCATTAGAGGAAATCAAAGATGGATACAAGAAATCAGTTAGTTTTGCTCCCATTTAAACTATGAGGGAGAGACTATTTCCTTTCCTCACCTGGAATAGGCACAACATCATCTCCTTGCTGGAGGATCCATGCAAGAGCGAGTTGAGCTGGAGAACATTGATGCTTCTTAGCTAGTGCTTCTATTCGGTTGTATATAGTCTTGTTCTTGTTCAAGTTCTCTCCATGGAACCGAGGATGTGTCGCCTTACAAAGAAAAGAGAACAAAATTAAAAAAAAAAAAAAAAAAAAAAGGAAGAAAAGAAAAGAAAAGAAAAAACTTTGGCTAACTAACAGAGCAACAGAGAAGTCTTCAAGTGTTCATTTTTCAGAAATATTCCTCAAAATGAAAAGGATAAAAAATAATAGCAGAAATATCCAGAAGCTTTATGTTATAAAGGTTTTGTTGCCTCAGTTGTGGACCTTGTGGTATTTCTGAAAGGACATTGGGCATTACAACAAAGATTTACCAGGAATAAACCACGTGAAAAAAGTTTGATTTGAAGATATATTTATTAAACTTTTTCATGCAATTCTTAAATTTGGTGAAAAAATTGGGGTGAATATTCTTGACATGCATACCAAGCTGCTGGTTGCAGGTAAACTTTCCACAACTGCTCTGCCACCAAAGAAACCACGACCAAGAGGACTATATGGAACTATTCCAATGCCAAGCTCCCTGCAGGGGTAAATGCATCAACATTGTAACATATATTTCTGAATATAGAATTAGAATTCTTCCCACAAAAAAGTCAGGTTGCTTTGAAATTGGATAATTTAAATTGAGTTCATGTAAGCATCATGTAATTGGTTTTCTGTGGAAATAATGGATAATAGCTTCGTAAAATACACTGATATATTAAGAAAACGGTCTTTAAGATGTTTGGGAAATGAAGGTACTTAAAATTATGAAGACAGTTTTCAAAACAACTTGAATTGATATTCGTACTAACTTGCATAGTGGAACAATTTCTTCTTCTATCTCACGAGTCCAGAGGGACCACTCCATTTGCAGAGCTGTGATGGGATGAACTGCATGTGCCCTCCTTATTGTGTCTGGACTGGCTTCAGATAATCCAATATACCTGATTTTTCCCTCTTGCACGAGTTTCTTGAGTTCATCCATCTACATTTCAAGTAAAAAATATAGATTTAAAAGCAGACTTTTTTAATGAACAAATGATTCAAAAACGTTCAACCAAAATACAAGACTCAAGGAACAGATTACTAACAGTTTCCTCTATTGGCACTGATGTGTCAACCCGGTGTTGATAATACAGATCAATGTAATCAACACCTAGACGCTGCAGGCTAGCCTCACAGCATGTTCTCACATACTCTGGGTCACCCTTCACCATTGTCCGATTCATGTCAAATCCTGCAATACCAAACTTTGTGGCTAGTTGAATTTTCTCTCTCGGCAACTGCTTCAATGCCTGAAAGAGCATGAACTTTTCTCAGTTGAAGTGGTAAATTTTAAAAGAATTAACATATTATAACATGGTTTCCTAGAAAAATGAGATTTATTTTTCAACTAATCTTGAAGAAAGATCTAGACTCAAGAAGAAACAAACTACCATAGATACCAAGCAATGTTAAGTACGTACCTTGCCAACCAAAACTTCATTAGCGAGGGGGCCATATATGTCAGCTGTATCAAAGAAGGTGATTCCCTTGCTGAAGGCATCCTTTATTATTGAGACCCCTTCCTCCTCAGAGACAGGAGAATTATAGACCCCAGTTAGACCCATACATCCAAAACCCAACTTTGAAACCTGTTAACCAAACAATTATAGAGATTACAGAGGATCATGAACTTCTAGACGAAAACTGGAAATAGCAATGAAGTTACACATTCAACCATTAGACCAGCAAATGCTCATATAACTGTCTAAGTATGTCTGCTGCCCACAAAACACAACACATGACCTTTAAGACATCAACAAGCACATATACACATGCCTAGAAGACATATAAGGCAGCATGTATGTGTGAAACAAGAGCGTGGAACACTTGAACTATACCCAATTAATGCCAAGACTTTGAGAAGTAAAGACAATATGAAGGATTCAACTTCTGGGAAACATATTAACTTTTCCTGGTCCGTTCAGCTAATGGAATATATAATTCAATTTCTCCATAAACTTTTGTCAAACATCTTTGCAGTGTTCTAAAGAAGAAAGAATCTAAACATTACTTCATGAGAGATTCCTAAGCCGATGGAATGAGGAATTGCAAATTCAGAATTTTCAATATCATATCTATTATGAACACATTAATCAGACATCAGCATTTCAGATAATCTTATCTACGAGACATAAATTTTCTGGTATCCACTGGATCCAACCAGCAATTTCTAAAACACCCACCTTCATCTCTATAAAATTTTACACTGAACAATCCAAAAACCTTAAAAGGGGTAAGATTGCTCCAAACCCAAATAAAAAATTTGGTGCATTTATACGTTTTCACTCCAGAATCAGCAAATGAAACATAGAGCTCCTCTTGAGGGAAACCGAAATGGGTATTCTGAGAATCAATCAAAAGAAAAATGGGTTTCTTACCTCAAGTCCTTGGCTGCCGAGTTTCGTCCGGGGCACAAGGAATTGCTCTTCGTCTTGCGCCATAATTCTGCTCGTGACAGTGTTTTTCTGTATGGTATGGTGATGTTACTAAATAAAACTTGGAAGTAGTTGGAGATGAAGGGAAGCGGAAGTGAGGTAGTTGGATTTGGGTTTGGTTGGGTTGGGAATTTTTTTTTTTTTAGTTAAATGTGAATTTTAGGGATCTAAACTTTGTCTTTTGAATAGTTTTTGGTCCTTATACTATTTTCAACGTTTTTTTTCTCTCAACTTCACAAATTATACAAATTTTATCCTTTTGTTCGTTAAGTGATGATGTAGTTGTTAACTAAATCTAAAATGATACTATTGTGATAACGTGATAATGACACATCATTAAATTAGTTTATTTGGACATATGGTACCCAAAAATAATTTTGGTATGGAAGATATCTGAGGAGGAAGAAAAAGATTTTAAGGGTATTTTTATTATTTTGTAAGTATTATAATTTTAATTTATAAAGCTTATTTGAGGATAGTTTTTAGTTTTTAATTTATTGTTTATCTATATAAGTTAAAATTGTCAAAATGAATGTCACATGTTTTGTTTAATTAAGCTAAAGGACCCATTTATGATAGACATATCCTTAAAAAATTAAAGAAAAACAAATTTTAAATAAGTTAATGGCCACGTTATCATTTAATTGATAAGAGAAGGAGAACGAAAAAAGTGCAATTTGTAGCGTTGAAAAACAAAAAATTTGCCAAAAAATGTAAGGACTAAGAGTGTTTAAAATGTAAAGTTTAAAGACTAAAATTCAAATTCAACTTTTTTCAAGGACGGAGTTGAGTATAAGTATTTGGAGGTAGTTGGGAACTTTTTTGGTTTTTTTATAGAGTTGGAGGTAAGTTTGCAATCCTCTTTCATTTTTTTTTTTTTTTTGGTGCATCTCTTTCATTTATTTATTAGCTCTATTTGTATGCTTGCTATTTAAATTTATAATCTTTTGTATGGGTTAAAAAAGAAATTGTATATCACTTAGCTAGTTTGTTATTACTTTATATATATATATATATATATTATATTTTATGATAGGAGATGGTTAGGAATATCACTCCTCCTCCTACTCCTCCGTTTCATTTTACTTGTTATTTTTTTCAAAAGGACTATTTTAATTTATTTGTAAATTTTTATACTATTAAATAAAACATTAAAAGTTTTTGGGTTCCTTGTCGAACTTAGATCTGGGTTCTGTGATAAACCCAGTTTCTAGGTTCCACTCGAAATCTAGTTCTGGGTTTTGACCCTTTTTTTTTTCATTTTTTTTAAATTTTGAATGTATCTATCTTTCATAAAGGAGCTAAATGAAACTGAAACTAAAATTTCATGTTTGGTTTTGAATTAGAGATGTGTTCTGGGTTTGTGTTTCATATTTGGGTTTGCAACTGTTGATAATAGGTTTAAGTTATTGCGATTATGTTGTTATGAATTTCATAACTTGTTCATACATGACCTCGGTTAACAAAGAAAGAAAGGGTTGAAAATATGAGAATTATATCTTGATTAAACTCACATGTAAAGAATTGATTATGAACGAAAAACAAAAATTTTGAAAGAAGGAAGATGATATCCTGAGAATTTCAGAATGTTTGATTAAGGTTTTTTTTTTGCACGAAAAGAGTGACATGGAAGAATGTTATTAAGTCCATGTAAGCATTTTTATACTGTGGAATGTCCATGTCAGCTATTGCTGTGAAGATAACGTGCTACGTGAGTAAAATTTAATAGAGAGACCAAAAAGGAGTCAGATTTTAAACTGTAGGGACTAAAGATGGATTTTTTCAGTAGAGACCAAAAAGTAGCTTTTTTCAATAGTAGAGGGACAAAAAGGAAATTTAACCAGTAGGAAAAAATTTCCATTTTGTCACCATTTTGTCGGTTTCTAAGGTAGATGACATACAAGGTGGCGTCAGTGAGTGGAACTACAGTGGGAGGCCACGGCTATAAATTCGAAATCCTGCACCACAAGGTGACAGGTTCTACCCAAAGCTGTAAGCTGCAGAGGTGAAAGTTTCAAGTTTCAAGTTTCAAGCACAGAGGAGAACAGAGTTCAACAATGGCTGGGGTTGGGGAGCAGCAGCAGCAGCAGGGAGTTGTCATGCCCAGAGTGAAACTGGGTACTCAAGGACTCGAGGTAATCTTCAAATTTAAGTCCATAGTTTTCCAAAATAGAGTTTCTTGATTTGGAATTCAAGCAATAAACTTTGTACTTTCTTCAAATATCTGCACAATCGATGTTTGTCTCCTTGGCCATTTGAGACTTGTGCCTTTGTGTTTTAGGTCAAGCTTTCTAATTTTGTTAAGATATTAATTAAGTAAAGTACCCTTCTTTACTACCTTACCTGTTGCGATGCGATTATTTTGTAGGTCTCCAAGTTGGGATTTGGTTGTATGGGGCTAACTGGAATTTATAACGATCCTGTCCCTGAAGAAGTTGGCATATCAATCATCAAGCATGCATTTCACAGTGGGATTACTTTCTTTGATACCTCATATATCTATGGAGTTAATACTAATGAAGTATTAGTCGGAAAGGTATAAACTTGCTTCAACACAAGTTCTCTAAGTTAGAACAAATTCTGCTGTTGATTCTATAGTTTAAGTTATTGTATATAAGATAGAGGCTTAAAATTTCTTACTAGACTAGATGGAATCTTAATTATCTTCCCATCAAATTCGTGCTTGAGCTACTAGGAATTAATGTTTGCAGTTGTTTGCATACATTGTTGATGTTAACGTTATGTATGGATAGATTATTTGGTGAACTTCCTTTCATTTGTTATCTAGTCCTTTCAATTACCAAAACATGAAAAAGGAAAGAGAAGTTCTGCAAATCATTAGTTAGTGTAAATACCGAGAAAGATCTAGTTCTCTAGAACGCTGGTTGTTGATTGTTGAAGATGATCCACTTTAGCCGGATAATAAAGTTGTTGAGTCACTTTTGGTTTAGAAGATCTAAGAATTAATATAAAGTAAATTTATCAAGTCCTGCTGTGGTGTGTTAAATATTTTATGCTTTCTTACTTTGCTTGTGAAAGCAGTTCATGTTTTTACTAAAGTCAATGTCTTTTAGGCTTTGAAGCAGCTACCTCGGGAGAAGGTACAATTAGCTACTAAATTCGGTATACAATTAGCTACTAAATTTGGTATTGTGAAATTGGATTCAAATGCTGTCATAATAAAAGGTACTCCAGAATATGTCCGTTCCTGTTGTGAGGCTAGCCTGAATCGCCTTGGTGTGGAATATATTGATCTTTATTACCAACACAGGATTGATACAACAGTACCAATAGAAGATACTGTAAGTGCAGCTCTACAAAGAATGACATTATTCATTGCATATTGCAAAAGGCTTTAGTTTCCTCCTTGGTGTATGCTCATGTTTGCTGCTGATATAATATTTTAGCTGCGTGCTTGAGGTAAACTAACTATTATCATATATGTTTTTTTTGCCTTAGATGGGTGAACTTAAGAAGT